TCATTAGACGACTGTGCAGGCTGATCGCCTACTCCGACCTCATCCCCCACCTTAGGCCCCTTTCCCAAGCTTGAAGGCAGCATGAAGCGCACTCACGGGAAGACGAGGCGAGCAAGCCTGCGCCGATCAGCAAAGGCCTGGTCCAACAGCCTAGCCAAAATATTGTAGAGCTCGGTGGACACGGCTCGGACCAGATGAAAAGAGTCCGTCCCGAGGGCGAGGAGGACTAACGCGTTAGTGCGAGAGCCGCCCAGAAGAGCCTCCAGGAAGGAAATTTCTGGTCGGACCAGGATGTGGGCAGCGATTCCCACAGAGTTAGTGTTCTGCAGAAGTAAGATCAGAATCAAATACCTGCGCGGATGCGGAGCCCTGGGCCTGTGCCGCACAGGGCGCATGAGCCGGCAGAGCCGGAGGAATAGCCCTAAGGGCAGCCTTCACGCTAGGTGCCTGAGGCCTTCTAGAAAGCAATGACAGAGCTCTAGAGGGCCAGTTTCAAATTTTCGTGCTTTGCATGCGAGCCAGCATGCCCACTCGATAAAGCAAGATTCGACCACAGCTACAGTAAAAATCTTGCATGAAAACTCCGCACTCAAATTACAAAAGGTAGCATGAAATCATTCACAAAGTTTGCCATCAAAACAAAATTCAAGTTTGAAAACCGTCGCCCACTAGCGACTGTTTAGAATTGTTGAGAATGAAAAGTCTGCAAGCAGAAAATATTCTTCTCTGCTTGCGTCCAGTTGCCTTGGCAGTGCAAGAGGTGCGTGCCTTCGAGGTCCGCATAGTCGATGGGGTGAGGTTGCTGCACCCACTGCATGCTGGATGGAATAGGGTCGAAAATGCCTGTGCTCACCCCTTCTTCCAGCATTGCGCATAGTGCCGTGTCTGGGTCCCCCGTACTTGTTGCAAAAAGCTGGAGGATTCCCAAACGAAAGGGCTGGCCTTGCGATATGTCTGTGCACTTCTTACTGGTGCAACCAGGGTGTAGTACTTCATGTGCGATGCTGGTGATGCGCTGTTGTTGCTCTTCTGTGAAGGGGTGCGAGTCTCTGCCTTCGTGCAGGTGCTCCACAAGGTGCAGGAGTAGGTTCTCTGATGCCAGATACTGTATCCACTGCTCCGATACTGCTTTTAATGTGGCTTTGCCCTGCGGTATTGACTTATCTGCAGCGCTGTTGAGGCCCGCACCATCACATACTGCTGGTCGTCGCCGTTGAAATGGACCTGAGCAGTGCTGCGCGAAGTCCTGCCACGGAACGGAGGCAGAAGCATCTGGAGATACCACGAGGCCTGCCATGTCTGCTGCAGCTTGCGGGGAAATGCTGGTACCTTGTAGTTGCGAGATCTCTTGCAGAGACGACACTGCGTGTCTGATGCCGTGCGGGCCTGGCAGTTGCCAGCAATGTGCGTTGCTCTCCTGCAGCAGGGCGTGCCATGTTGCTGGTAGCTTTGCCGGTAGGGTGACGAAAAAATGCCCTGCTGTTTCTAGGACTGCTTTAGTCATAGCCAGAATGTTCTGCTGGGTCTCCTCGTCCTGTACGTCTTCCAGTGCGTCGCACCAAAGGAGTCCTATCAGCCCCGAATAGGCTAACTGCAGAAGTTTGTTCTTTCAGAATGTCCCTCTGGCTGTGCGTAGCTGGAGGGGAGAGGCAGTGCAGGTGCCTGTCGACCACTGCCTGCGAGAAGTCATGCTGGTCTGTGTCTATGCATGCGAAAAAGAAGCGTTTGCGATGCAATGCAGGAGGCCGTCCATTGTGCTTATTTTCTGCAGCGGTGCTAGGCAGCTCGGGGGTGCGGCTACGCTCACGTGGGTAGCTTTGAGCCGGTGCTTGTGCAGGATTGCCTGTGCTGGGCTGTGCGTGCTGTTTGTGCTGCGGGTGAGTGCCTGCCGATGACGGGCTCCCGCTGGCCCGGGCTGCTTCAGGAAGTGGTTGCTGTGCTTGCTGTGCCTTCGGTGTCGGTGCCACTGCGTGGTTGCTTGAAGCGGTGCTTGTGTGCAGGGTGCTGACCGCCGCAGGCTTGTCCGTTAGGCATTCGCACTGCGCAGCGGTGCTCGTATTTGCAGTTTGCGTTGTTGCATTGCGTCTTGTTGTAGCGCAAGCAGAGCGTCTTTTTGCC